AGGGTTTAGGGTTTAGGATTTCTTTACGGGTTCTAGCAGGGGTTTGTGGTGAAAGGTTTTGTTATAAGGGTTTCTTCTATAATGGATTCCTCAAGGCCGTTGGCTTGCTTTCTGCCTGAATATTTCCGTTCGGCCTGGGCTTTTGGATGTCACGCATTCGTGGATTATCGGGATTTCTGGCTTAAGGTTTAAAGTCTAACCGATTCGAAGGTAATCGCACTCAGGGTTCAACTGAGGTAGTGCAGATGCAAAAGTCTTGGCAAACCTTGCGCCGTTTTTTCCACGAGATCTCTAACACCAACAAACCCTAAACCCTAAACCCCAAACTTGAGACCCTGCGCGTAACGCACTTCCCGTCCTCCGTGTACTGCTTGACAGCCTTAGGGAGTTACTGGCGAAGATCCGAAGATAGGAGGCGAAGCCGAAAGGGTTTCGAGATCGGGGTTTCTGGTAGACCCAGAAGCAATCATAGCAGAACCCACAGGGTCCACATGTACTACCATTTTGGAACTAGGCCCCAAAAGGACCATCCTTATTATGGTTTTGGGGACCTCATTCCATAATAGTGGGATATGTAGGGCAATATAGGGATTTGGAGGGAGCACTTCGCTAGTTCTTGACTGGAATCCTTCCTTAGGGTAGGGGCGGGTAGAGATGTAGGAAAGTTGGGACCGCGGCTCACGAACCCAACGTACGAAAAAGAGGCCTCAATAATTAGAATAGGGAAGGAACCCCCAAAATAATATCTTATCATCTTTGAGGCCCCTATATTACAACAGCGCATTAGACCGTGAAATCTTGGTCTTGGAGGTCTTAGGATCAAGGGCTCACGAGTGGGAGAGCAGCCGCCACGCCTTAGCAAGGCTCCCTTCGTGGAACTTTCCAAAACCGTCGGGACGAAATGAACCCCAAAAGGCTTTCATATATGATTCATATACCATATAGGGATTCATGGTATAAGGGTAAAGGGCCCCTACTTCTAAGGGTCCCAAGGAAACACTATCAGAGTCAGGCTTCAGAGATTCAGGCTCGAGGCTGTTGAAGGGTTTTGGGCTCGATGCAGTAAGCTATACCTATGGCTCAAACTGCCTACCAGTGGATCCAAGAATACCCTAGAACTAGAAGGTCAAAACCTACTACTCAACAGTGTTTGGCATCAGGTTTGAGAGGAGGTTTCCAGCACCAGCTAGGAATGGAATATGCAGCGCTTCGGCAACTCTGACATGTTGGCAAGTCGTCGGTGTCCTGTGAGTGCTCAAGCCAGAACCCAAGGATGCCTCTTGCAGCTACTGTAGGGGCCTTAAAAATACTGTAGGGGCCTTAAATATTAGAATAGGGTTTCGGGCTCCTTCATAGTGCTACTATAATAAGGAACCCTAACAGTAGTATTGGTAATTGTCTAGGCTTCTTTATTATCCACTTCGGCCTTATTAGGGTGATAGCCCTCGGGCACTGGACGAGGAAGCCCCAAAAGCCAGAACGCAAAAGCCCCAAACCCGGAATCTGGGGCTCAAGGTCGAGGCTTGCAATCGACAAGGCCGTGCAGCCATGGAAAGTCTGCAACCAGATCATTACCAGCAAAATGACTACTACTGTTGCACGGGCTACCACGGCTCATCATCTTCGTAACGTGCCGCCTGTTGCTAGATCCACTTACTTGGCTACCACTGACAAACATCACGTCAGTATAATGATCCTTCAGGTTACTAGCACGAGATCGTGGTCCACATGCATCCATGTACAACTATTCGCACTGACTTGCCACTCTTCCATGTGCTTTGATGCCCTACTAAGCTACTTTGTAAGAAATACAAACACTGATTTCACGATGGGCTTGTCCGCGATCGAATGCCGCATGTCTTGTGAACCCACACAGCTAGTAGTGAGACACTGTGGTGACGGCCCGAAGCGCCACCACGATATGGCAAGACTGCTGTCCGTAGTTCGGATGGACGTTGGCTTTAAGCCAAGCCATCCATGATGTGTTCCACAGCTACGCCGTCTAAATAATCCGGATGGGCTTTGGCTTTAAGCCAAACCATCCATGTGTTGCTCAGCCACACCGTCCGTTTATGTCACAGCTCGACTACACACGCCTTAAACCTCACACGTGCATTCCTATACACCCGACGCTGAAATCCGATCTGTCCATCAAGATATCGGTCTGCAAATTCAGACGGGAGGTTGTGTTGTAGACCTGCACCGAAGAGGACGCTGTGGCAACCTCTGTGACTACATAACACTAGAAGAAGATAGAACACAACAGAAACCCAGAGCATGAAGGAACACACGCGGACGAAGCAGTGCTTTACAAAACCCTAAACCCTCAACCCTGAACCCTAAACCCTAAATCCTAAACCCTAAACCCTAAACCCTGAACCCTGAACCCTAAACATAACGGTTCGAATAGTATGTAGACAGAAGAGACCTAGGTCTGACAGTTGCGAAATGAGACGTTGACGAAGGAAATATGTATTCTAATTGTTTAGGGTTTAGGGTTAAGGGTTTAAGGGCTTTTAGGTTTAGGGTTTTAGGGTTTAGGGTTTAGGGTTTAGGGCTTAAGGTTTAGGGTTATAGGGCTTTTGGGTTTAGGGTTTTAGGGTTTAGGGTTTAAGGTTTAGGGTTTAAGGGCTTTTGGGTTTAGGGTTTTAGGGTTTAGGGTTAAAGGTTTAGGGTTATATGCATTCTAGTTTATAATGACAGAACAATGAACTTCATATTGAACACTCCCCATACCGCAACAGTGAGTGGGATTGTTGTTACTGGGACAGCTCCTAACCGTTTGCATGCAGCTATAATATAAACTATGTAGACACAGAAGTTTGAAATTATGTTTTTGAGGCCTGAAAAGGCGTCGACATGACGGGCCAGAGGCAAGAGCTGCGAGGTGTGCACAAGAAAATGCTCGCAACCAAAACGCACCTTGCTCTTTTTGCGGCTGGGGCGCGCAATGGGTCGGGGAGAACTAGGTGGAGCTAAACCCCTCAGCCTTGAAAAGCGATGGGCGCAGGGCCTTGAAAAGCGATGGGCGCAGGGCAGATAAGGAGAACTGGGTTAAAAGGGTATGCAAAGTGGGCAGCGTGGCAGGCCTCTTACGGCAGCCAGGCAGAGCCAAGTACGCAGCAACAATTGCACGTTGTGCCTAATGCTCAGTGAGGCCAAGTCTGAGCAGAAGCATCCACGACAGCTCCCAGGCCCTTCTAGGTTCCCAAGTCTGAAAGAATGTAATGAAACAATAACAGAAAGCTTTCAAATTCAGAAACTCTGTATGTGGACATGGCAAACATTACATCCCATAGCTTCACACTGAGTCCTCTTCTGCACTTATAATGGATCCGTGGACCCAGTCGGTTGGACTCACTCGTTTAGAAAGCGCTCGAAGACTTCGTCGCTGTCGTGCCGGAGGAGCGCCGGAAGGTAGGACTCGTAGTTTGTATTCAACGCTCTCGCATGGTCGGCTATTTTGTACAGGGTCACCGACATTTGGATAATCGAGATCAGGTAGCTGAAAGCCGTGGCAAAATGGAGATGTAGTGGATCCATGTCATAGCCTTCACGCTCCAGGGTCATCGATCGAAGGAAGATATACTACTGGAGACAAATCCCCAAAGGTGCCTCGAATAAAGCCTCCATCATCCAACGCACCTCCATATAACGCGCCCATTTTCCAACTAAGCCGGTCCCTGAAAGGCTATGCCAGGCTGCAGCCGCATCGTTAACACCGAGGAATGTCATGAAGAAGCCGAATCTGGGACGTCTTTGAACATTCGAAACATGTTTTGCACCGGCTCTTACAGGAATCCATTACGAAAATAAGAGGAAGAAGAACAGAACATGAACAGCTAGTAGTACTGCTAAGAACCTGGATGACAACAAAGACGACGCTAGCACAAAATGACGAAATGATAAACCAATGAATAGCAGCCTAGGAGCCCGATCTTGGAAAGGATCGCGGCAGACATAAGCCTTGATGCTGCAAAAATGAGGGCTGCCCAGGTAGCCCACCACGGATCACCATGTTTATAGAACATGTATATCGTGAAAATGTCCAAGAAGTCGTCACCAAACATGACCCAAAGACGAACTGTCTTTCCCAAGCGAACCTTGAAGACAGGGACGATTTCTTCAGTAGCAACCTTTGGAGCGGAAGATTGTTTCAGACCTGGCCCGTTGTCGATGTCTTGCTCTTCGAGTAGGCGCTCGTGATCACTTGGTGTCGCGCTTGAGGGAAGAGGAAGCGGGGCAACCGGGGCACGTGCAACGATGCTAGCGCCACAACTCAGACATGTCAGACATTTCTGCAAGGAGGCCCAAACACCAAGTGGTTGCGTTGGAGGCTCGGCGCGCCTAGTTGCTGTCCGACCTGTTTGCCGCTGTTGCGGTTCTGGCTTCTCCGGCGTTCCGAACACCATGCACACAGATTTGAAGATGATCACTGGGGCTCTCAGCACGCCGATGATGACCAGAAGTGCACTCACCGCGAAGCCAATGATCACCCCAATCTCTGGGATGATTTTAGCATGTCCAAATGACATGAACAAGAACATCAGCAAGACTCCGGTGACCAGTGGAACAAAAAACATAGCCAGTAGTTCCGAAGCCATGTCTCCGGAAGTGTGACCTTCCCATGCCGCCACACCGAAGCCGATGAGTGAACAGCCGTAGAGAATGCCTGCTCAAACTTTAGCATAGATGCGCGGCGTGTTTCATTAGACGGTTCTTGGTTCGTTTAGGCCTTGCACATTCCCAGGAGCAACCTTGCGCCTCCCAACACCTCCCTATGAGCCCAGAACCCCCCTAAACCCTAAACCCCTTATCGGGTGTCGGGAATAGTTCTAAGCGCATTTCTCCCAACAATATTTATAGAACCCCAAACCCTACACCCTAAACCCTATAAACCCTAGACCCTAAATCCTAAACCCTAAACCCTAAACCCTAAACCCTAAACCCCAAACCCTATAGGAGGTCCTCAGGATCCATGGCCCACACTTCGGCGTGGCTTGAAGCTGAGTGGAGACGTCTGCAGAGGCAGCAGATGCAACTGCGGCTGCAGGTTAGGGTTTAGGGTTTAGGGTTTAGGGTTTAGGTGATGGGCGGTTAAGGTGCACGGGCTGTACGTGCTGGTACAGGGTCATTAAATTGAAGGACTTAAGAAAGACAAAAGACGGGCGAGAGAGAGAGAGATAGACTGCAAATGCATTGCTTTCGTCATTTGTTCCTATGTCCCAACTCATGTGAATACCGATAAGCCCCGAAACCTGCAAGCGCTAAAGTCGGAGAAGTAAATAAGCCTACAACACCGTGTAACTGCTCGTTAGCCCTATAATACCCTGTGGACACCCTTCGAAAATCGAAAGCATGTGTAAACATGCTCGCCCGAGGGCGGTACCCACGCAATGTCCGTGATGTTCTGGTCGGCAGGGATTACGCCGCCTGCTGGGGCTTTAGGGGCACGGTTGAGGGTTTAGAGGGGCCTAGGCGGTTCTAGGAGAGTAGGGTTTAGGGTTTAGGAGTTTAGTTTCTTGAGGAGTTACCTAAGGTGTTTTGAAGGCTGAGGGTTTAGGGTTTCGGGATTTGGGGTATAGGGCTTAGTTTCTTGAGAAGTTACCTAAAAGTGCTCTGAAGGCTCTATGAGGATTTAGGATTCAGGGCTTAGGCTTACCTTTACGAATCAGGGGTCTGCATTCAGAAGCTCTCCAGCCTGAAGTTTCACGCCCCAAGGCGTCAAGCAGCAACACACACCAGGTTTAGGGTTTAGGGTTT